TACAACTTCATTGCAGCCTCGTATAACAAAAAATAAATTTACTTTGCTTTTCATGCCTTTCGAAAAAATTATGAATTTCTAGTCGCAGTTCGTCTCATTTCACTACCATCAATGTCACCCTAGCTTCTATTTCAAAAAGAAAATGTAAAATAAGAGACATGGAAAAGTCAATAAGACAATTAGCTTACTTCATAATTATCAGGGCGCCTCTCGACAATAGAAATCTTTGTAAGTATAAGTTGACGAGATACAGAATCACCATGTTCTCCAATACCTCCTTTAGGACCAACACTGAAACCCTGTCCCGGAAAATTTACAGTTCCATGTGCGCCAGTGCGCAATCTCATCACCAACCAACCCCCAAGAGGGGTTTCTTCCGCTCCAACAGGCTCTTTACCTGCCATTTAAATTATTCAAAATCAGCTAAAGAGATGAGGAGATAGCTTAGAGGAAAATAAAAACAGAATCAAAAGTTTCAAAGGAGTTACTTCGTTGCTTTATATACTCTGCTACAGTAGGAGATTGAGAACTGTCCACGGATAAAGATAGCCCGACCATGGATTTCGCCGTTTTCGTCTGTTAACAGATAAAGAGTGAAACAACCATGCAATTAATTACACTTCTCAGGAGAAACATGGTAGCATAGATGTGTAGACAATATACAAACAGGAGGACTTAAAGCAGAAAAGCAATCAGAAATTACAGCGTGCCATTCTGACTAGAACTGAATGTATAGCAAGAGAAAGAGAATCCCATACCAAACTTGAGATGATAGCAGTATCTGTAGTTCCCGAAGCAGCTTGGAAAGCCTTAGACTTCCTTCCATATAATGGACAAAGAATAAATCCGCTATGTCCGCCATTTCTCTTCCCATAAACATCAGAAAGGAGAATAATTGCAGGAGAACCCATGTCTCTAAAATCCAAGCACCACCGAAGATCACCGGACTTCAAGTCAATGAGCTCAACCCCAACATAAGTTACTTTTAATTTCTGCAGACATGTTAAATCAATTTCTCTTAGGTGAAAGAGATTGTCATCAATTAACACTATATAACTACGTGAGAATGAGGTCAAACCTCACAACTTCTGAAAGTGATTCAGCTTATCAGCATAGATCCTACCAATTTGAGTAAGCTAAACCATCCCCAAAGGTAAATAACATTTGGCAAGTAGGGATAGAAGGCAAGGTAGGTTGGAGCATAAAACTTATCAGGTCTGGTAATGATGAACTAGTCACAAGTTCAGTACCTTGTTCCTATGTGGTAGCTATGTACTAGATATTTCCGTTTTCCATCTATACATGCCATACATACCATCTTATTTTTAGTAGCTGAGTATTGAATATCTCCATTCATGGCTGATGTACTCTGTTGCATCTTTACAATAGTTCAATTTATTTCCATACTTAAGGTTGTCAAGAAGAGGCCAGGGTTTTTGTCCACATAAAACTTTTATGACCACCCACCAAGCATTCTAACCAGTAAAGCGAAAAAGCCAGCAACAAGTACGAACGAAGCAAGGACCTCCATGCCTAAAGCTACATCTCCCATACCCTACGAGCACCTACGACTAGTTAAGAAATCATAACCAATACACGGCCAAATGTGCTGCGGTCTTCAAGAGAAGAGAATAAAGCTCCAAATATTTCTCGTCAAGCTTATCAAAGAGTTCTAAAAATATGACAAGTGTTTCATATTCAAACCCTCTCTCCATCCAGTCAGCGTTCAGCTAATTGCACGCACGTTCCCACTCATCTCAGTTGCCCTCATTCCTCTTCCAGTGACGGCAGTTTCCATTGTCAAATTAGAAGTTTCTGCGAAAAGGACGGTGCCAATGGAGACAGACATAACTTAACAGGAACCAAAGCCCTCTCAAAATCACTTTTTTGCACTGAACCTTCACTTTAGCCAATCAGCACATTGATCAGCAGGCAACATAAAAATTTATAAACCCCCAACCAGGTCTACAGGATTGTTCTACACATGCCAAGCACGCCAACAAAATAAGGGGGGAAGACAAACAAGGTTAACTTACGAAGGGAACCCATTCCCCATTTCTCCGCCGCAAATGCAGAATTGGGAACTCAGCTACCGCTCCGATCCTACTCCACCTGATCCTGTGCAATTCCGTCAATATACTCGCGCGATACCGGGAGGAAAACTTCATCCCCTTGAATTTCCCCTTGCCCTCGGTCCTCACGCTCAAGCTGAACTCGCTCGAGTTCTCGTCCCGGCCGAGCACCGGCAGCGCCCCGTCGTAATCGCTCCCCACGTCATAACAATTAGTCACCAGGAGAGTGTTCGGATCCAGGGTGATGATCGCCCCGCTCGATATGCAGAGAATACGCTTGTAGCGGCCGCGCCACGAGTGCTTGACCACCATGTACCTGGCGAGGTACTCCGGCTCTTCGACCGGCGGGGCGGCGGCGGAGGCGCCGTAGCTCGAGGAGTCCATGGGGACCGCGGCGGGAGCTGCACGGGGGGCGGGGGCGGCACGGGGGGCGGGGGCGGGGGCGGAGGGGGCAGGGGCGTGGTGGCGGCGGGCGGACTCGAAGTGGGGGAGGTAGGCTAGAGTCTGGTACTTGGGGGCATCGTTGCGGCGGAGGAAGAACCAGAGTCCCGCGCCGCCGGCCTGGGCCGATGCAGCTCGGTGGGGCCGCGACTGATTCGCCCCCAGTTCGGAAGATTGAGGGATCGCCCGCTGTGGGGGGAGGGAGAATCGGCGGCGATCGGGGGCGTCGAGGAGCTGCTGCTGCTGCTAAACCCTAGCGACCATGGGAGATGGCAATGGCGATGGCGATGGCGATGGCGATGGCGATCGAGACGCGATCGAATTGGGGGTTATGGATCGAATTGAGAAAGGGAGGTCGGAGAAGGAGAAGGAGAAGGAGAAGGGGGGAGAGAGAGAGAGAGAGAGAGGGAGGTTCGTTGTTGATGCCACCACCTGACTGTCAACAGAGAGAGAGAGAGGGGAGAGCTGGCGAGGGAGTAAACGTCACCCGTCGGTGGCCTTATCTCGGCTTTGGCTTCCCTTCCCTTTCCTTATGTTATTTCATTTTATTCATTTCTTGCTTAGTGATGATGAAAATACTAAAATTAGGGTGCGCAGAATATCATTCTGCTCAAATTATTTCTAACAAAATGATTTTTTATTCTCGTGCCTAAACAATTGTTGAGTATTTGAAGGCGTTTGATAAACTGTCCAAAATTTCTATTTCTAGAGTAGAAAAGAACAAATGCGTTTGGTAACTACACAAAATTTCTGTTCCCAAATAATATTTTAATAATATTTTGAATTGTTTAATTTTTTTTTCTACCCATTTTCTTCTTTGGCCATGGCCGTGCCGACCGGCAACCAAATCCCGACCCGGGCCGGCGAGGGCGTCACGGCCGCTCGCCCGGCCATGGCGTCGCCGCTGCACGCAGCCCACTTAGGGAAGAACAACACAAAAATAAAAAAAAAAAAAAGCCGATTCTCAAAATTGTGCCGAGAAACAAGAAGCAACTTTTTTACTTCTTGTTTCTCTTCCAAACCTCAGCACAAATTTTTGCAAAAATGTGCCCGGGATCAAAAAGTTTACCAAACGCATTTCGTTCCCAAACTATTTCGGAACAAAAGAATAGAAATTTTCACATTTGACGTTCCAAACAGTCTTAGCAAAGATATGTGAATTTTTCCTAGCTCCAAACGAAAGAAGATGATCGAAACCACAACTCCCCCGAGATGGTTGGCCTAGTAGTCAAGAAGCCACGCATTAGCCAACCTTCCAGCGGCTCGTGCCGTGTTGTCTGGTCGCGGCATATCTTGCTGTGGCGAGCCTGTCGATCTTGGACCGTGGGATCATGGAGTAGGGGTGATCCATTTCCGATCTGGTCCGGTTCCAAGATGGAACTGGGAACCGGGGACCGGACTAGTTGATCCTAGAATCGGGAATTGGACAACCGGTTCAGTCCAATAGAATCGATCGCTTTTTTTTTCCCATTACTTGATATTATATTTGCATGTTGAATTAAGTGATATGTAGGCAACGATCCTCAAATTGAAAAAAACGAATCAAAAAACGCGTTTCACTTGGGGTTTAGTTAACATTTTACTAATTTTTTTGAAGAAATGAATAAATAAAAAAAAGTATATGTAGTCGGTCCGGTCCGATCCGATTCCCTTTGGAATCGAGAACCGAATCGCCCGGACACCGATTCCACTTTTAGGAATTGAGAGCCGGACTGACACTCCCGAAAATCGGACCAAACTGGCCGGTCTAAGCAGTTCCCAGTTTGGATGATGTGGAGCATGTGTAAGACCCTTGTTGTAATGCACAAAGAGGGTCTTCGACGGTTGATTGCTAATCCCCACCCTTTTATTGATCGAAAATATTATAAGCTCACCACATAATCGAATTTGCCATGTGGCCTGTAGAGACATGTTAAAATGAGTCATAGATCCGTTTCTTAACTAATATTTGATAGGATGAGTTATTATATATAGGGGTGTCAGAAAGACCGTGCCGGCCCGACCCGACCCTACCCAAAAATTTGGGGTATTTTGGGGTCGGGCCTTAGTCTTCTTCGGGTAGGGCCTTTTAGGAGTGGGTATTGTTAGGGTCGGGCTGGCGTGGGTCTTTTGACACCGCTACCCAAAAACACCACTGTCCCATTCCAAGCCCTAATTTCCATTCCACCCTCCTTCTCTTCCGTTCCTTCTCGCCTCGCTTGCTGTCGTCCTCTCTCCTCTTCCTCGTCCCATTGCAGCATTCATTCAAACACCATCTCTGCATCCGGAGGCCTCTACCGATGTGGTTCCTCAGCGGGGAGATCTTCGGCGAAGACGACGGCCACGACGACCACGATGGAGACGCGGGCAGCAAGCTTCTAGAAGAAGAAGAGAAAGAAGAAGTGCCAGAACCGGCCTTTCGATAGCCAAGGACGGCCAGGAAAGTGCCTGATCTGATCGTGAAGGAGCTTGCATCGTGGGTTTTCGAGGGGCAATTGTTGGGTAAGATCTTCAATAGTTGATGGGTTTTGGTTTTTTTAGTTCTAGGGAAGGGTTTCATCTGCAAATATTAGATAGTTGTTTTAGCTGGTTTAGTTTAATCTGTGTTATCGACTGGGATTTATTTCTATGTCTGAGAGTGGAAGCATTGTCGGAGTGTGATTTCATGCATCTCCATGGTTTCTTGGTCTTAAAGCGTGATGTTCTTTGCTAAGTGTTTAATGCCTCGTGCAAGATTTGGTTGCCTCATATGGATCAGCTTAAGTGCAGATTCGACCCCTGTGGAGACACTATTTTCAGAACACCCAGGGACTTATCTTTGTGGTCAATAGCAATGACAGAGAGAGGATATCGGAAGCTAGGGACGAGCTTCATTGGATGTTGAGTGAGGTTAAACTCATTTCTTCCTGGTCACTGGTTTGCCTTAATTCATGCTACTAATGGCTGCGAACTAAACATGGTAGTCTTTCAATGTGAAACAACTGCGGGACAAGTTGTGCGATGTGACACTGCTTTTGTTTGCGAAGATTAGTTGTGTTTTGTGCTTTAGATTACTTGTTTTGCTTCCTAGATCAAATTACACAGGACTTGTCCTGGTGACCTAGATGAGGTTGTGAAGCAACTGGAGTTGGTCACCGACTCACCGGATCAGTTGTTGTTGGTTCGATTGGTAGGACCATTATCATATACAGGCCCAGCATTACCAAAATGCGGGCAGAGGAGAAGAAGAAACAGGCTTGCAGGGTGTTTGTTAGAAAAGGAGCTGACCCCAATCCGCTGCTCTTGGTCAAATGAAATCTTGGGATTCTCTTAGTTTACTCAAAAACATTATCCCTATTGCAATTTGTGGGAGCAATTTGAGAAGCTTCCTTAACATTTCGTGATCAAATGCAGAAGAAAGGTCAACCATCAAGACTTGTAGGAAGTGGTCGTCGTGACAGCACCGGGGTCGGATTGATCGACTCACCGCCTCAGCTACATTTGTTGACCCTGTAATTAGGTAGGTCTCTTCTATCCAGACCATGTTTAAGTTCCATCTTCAAAATGAACCCAAAGCTAAAATTGGTTACCTGGCAAAAAAATATCTCTTGCCTTGTATGTCTATTAGCTAGAAGCCTAGAAATAGCTGAAGTTGCATTTGGTTTCATATTTTACATTTTGAATTAACTAGTTGTGCGATTGTGAAGGCCCTTGATCAACACTTTTCCTGCTAAGACGAAGTACGAGTGGAAGCTGCATTTAGAGGCTTGGAGATACGGATCTGGTTTAGACTATGAGCTATGAGGATGGATAGCCACAAAACAAGATCTTTGTCAAATGGGTTGCTGAACATACTAGGGTGAAGTGATGCAGAAAACTTGGTGGCACTTCAACAATGTATCTTTTTCTTTGTAATTGTCCATTTTAGTGGAGGAATTGTTGGAAATGCTAGTATGAGTATTACCCTGCTAACATTCAACTCCAATCTTTTCCACCGTTAGCACATAGGTCAAGTGCACATCCACCTATCCAAGTTAGCGGCCATTGATAGTGTTGACATCTAAATTTTGGCAATCCAGTTAGTCGTTTACTGCATATAAAAATTAGGGATCGATCCCGACCCCTAAATAAAAAAATATTCGTTAAATTGCATATAGATTTTAGGAGCATTTCATTAATAGTTAATTAGGCCCGTATAGTTCGCATATCTATCAGACCAATGGCGGATGGACTTAACAGAATTTAATTGAACTGGAGTAAATGGACTCAAGTGAAGAGGTTCTGAACTCAATGGAAGTAATTGGATCAAGCCCGTGCGAGCTAAAGATTCAGCCAAACCCGTTATTCCCTCAAGTGGTCAAGATTAACATGTGCGTTGCGCGTGTAGCGCATCGGATTAGAAGATATTGAGAAAATATCATGAAAATCTTTTGATCACATGGATACTTGAAAGAACAAATATGGAGGAAGAGCAAAGTTGATTTGGGTAGATTCATTCGGCATGGGCAGAGGAACAAAGGAAGAAAAATGAGAAAGTGAGTGGTTTTATCCTTGGCCATATTATTCACGAAAAGATTGCGAAGCCACAAAAGAGGGAAAGAAGCAAAGGGAATTTGGTCAGCATGGGGCATATATTCTGAGCAATATATTGGACACTATCAAGAAGGCCTTTACGTCTTCGGTGGCGTGAACAGAAAGAAAAAAGTCACAAGAAAGGGAAAGAATTGAAATGTAATATATTCTAAACAATCATAAGAGGAAAGCAGATTTATTCTCGTTCCTCAAAAACCTAGGGCCTCCCTACCTTAAAAGGGTCACGTATAGACAAGAGAAGGGGGAGCTCGAGAATTTCCAGAATAATTTTCAGAAAGATGCGAGTGATACACGTGAGTGAGAGTGATAGAAGGTCGGTCGTGCCACTCCTCGCTGCACCAACCAGCACCACTGCGTTGCCACCCGAGCCTGCTCATCGCTCAAGAACGCTGAGCGCAGAAGCCCATTGATCGCCAAGTTGCCGCTCGTGCCGCCTGTCGCCGTTCCATCTTCATCCTGCTGCCGCAGTTCGCGCCGCGTTCTCCCTCAGTTCGATGCTCTCACAATCTCAAAGCGATGCTAGCAAGTTTTCAGCAGATCCCTAGCTGTCCACGAGTCCCATGGCTTCGTCGTCATTACATGCAGAAGACGCCACCTTTTGATTTCTTTTGAGTATAGTGGTGGTCAAAGTCTTCCGCGGAAGCTTGGACAAATAGACCCACGAAGGGATTTGCACAGTGACTTGGTGGCTCACCCGTGATCCCCAAGCTCGGAGGCCGTCGTCCTTGCTATCACAGTGATCGTTCACCGCCGGTCCTCGCTCCTCCACCGTCCAGTAACTTGAGCCGCCGGTCACGGTCAATCCCGAGTCGAACTCTGTTTTACAGGTTTATTTTTTTGACAAGTTCGTGAACCATCCCGCCGCGATTCCAATCGAGAGTCAACCCACCACCATCCGCCAGTCCAAACTTGGAAAGCAAATATTAGAATTAGGTAAAAGTCTCATCTAATTTGTTTTCGAGTATATTGTTTCATTGTTTAAAATATTACAATTTTGTGTGAATCTTTTAGCGATAATGTCGTATCCATTAAATTCCCAAGTAAACTTTAAATTAGAAATTACTTCCTAATTTCACAATGTGCATATGATCGACAGTTTGATTTCATGTTCGAAATATGACTCGCGATCGCATGGAAAATCGTCAATCTGATCTCTCGTCCGAGATATGATTCGCGATTGCATGAAAAATTGGCCAATCCGATCCTCATGCCCAGGATACAATTTGTCAATTTATTGTTTCTAAATTTAAATAGATATGGATATTATTTCTCTTGATTTGGTGTCGTGTTAATTTGATTGCTATTTCTTTCTGTTTTGTTTAAATTGAATTGATTGTGTTTTCATAAAAAAAAATACAAAAATATCGTATGCATGTCATATAGATTAGTTGCATCATGCTTGCATGTCATTTTGCCACGTCATTCATACCTTGCCACGTGTCATTGCTCGCGTGTCATTAGAAATTGCACGTCTAGGTTCATTTGTGTGCCATATTAGAATAGTCCATTTAATCGTTGCTAGAATTAAGACATTTAGGTAATTGTATGTCGTATCAGACTAGCATCATGCATTGCATATAGTTTAGTTTTTTTCATTAAATAAGCGAAAACTCCTAAAAAAATGTGAGTGAAATTGCGTGTTAATTAGAAATCATATTAGGGTTGTTGATGTGATTTTCTAATTAACATTGCAGATGCTTTCATTGCTCTAAGGTAAGTATTTTCTATCCATCCTTGCGATTTTATTTATTGCTTTGCTTTATTGGGTGTTTTATTAATGGTTGCGCACTCGCATGATCACCTCTCATGTAAGTGAATAGGTTTTAAATGAATCCAAGCTGCCTGCCAAATATTGTTTTTAATAAAAGAGAAAAGGTACCGAAAGGACATTAGAGTAATCTAGTGTAACCAAGTCCCCGAGTCCATAATCTCTAGTTCGTAGGAGTAAAGTAATTCTCCCGATACTTTACTTGGGTTTCTAATCGACCCACAAAAAAATAGATTAGTGGCGACTCCCGATTGAAACGATTTGCATGTTAAGAACTTAAACCTTAAGTCGCGAATTGGTAAGGGCTTGGGAGAGCCCGAGTTAGGCCTAGACTTAACAATTCATTAGCCAAACCCCTAGGTGGTGCACACAAGGATAGGTCACGATAGATGGTAGTCACTAGCTACAAGTTTGCGGGTCGGTTCGGGTACCCTAAATGTTTTCTTTATCATTGTGTTGTTGCAACAGTATGCTCTGCAAGTACTTAACATCACCAAGCCCACACCCCGCATGACACATTCAACTTTGCGAATTCAGTTGATTAGCTGGTGTTTTCAGTTAATCATGCAAGGAAATGAATATAAGCACTCATTTCCAATCTATTTGTAATAAGAATAAATGGGGAAATGCGAAGGTGAGGGTGGTGATTCCATAACTAATTGCTATTCGGGCTCACACGCATTTCCAATCTATTTGCACAAAAAAGAAGAAGAGAAGAACCCGAAACCCAACCCGGACCGACCCGACCCGACTCGTTGCTATGGTTATATGCTGAACGGGTCTCGGGCCGGGTCGGGTCAAGCACGTCACTATGGGGTTTCGGGTCGAGTATCATGAAGACCCGGCCCGACCCGACCCATTGACACTTTTAATTATATGGGTTAGTTATATTTAATAAATGAGTCATAAATAGATGGGTTAATACCAAGAAAAACCCTAAACTGGTACACTTGTGACACATTTACCCCAAACTATTTTTTTGACCATAAAAAACCCCAAACTGGTATACCTGTGACAATTTTACCCCAAACATACCACAAAAAACCCTAAACTGGTACACATGTGACAATTTTACCCCGAACTAATTTTTAATATTATTATTTTTTCTTTTTTCTTTTCTTTTATTTTCTTTTTTTTTGGTCACCCTTGTCCTGGGCGGGCGAGGGCGACCCTCGCCGGCTTCCGCCTCTGGCCGGTCGCCGGACCGGCGACCGGCCAGAGTTTGAAGATGAAAAAGAAAAGAAAAGAAAAGAAAAGAATAAAAAATAAATAAAAATTCAAAAAAATTAAAATTTTAATTTTAATTCAGGGTAAAATTGTCACATATGTACCAGTTTGGGATTTTTTGTGGTAAGGTTAGGATAAAATTGTCACAGGTGTACCAGTTTGGGGTTTTTGATGGTAAAAAAAATAGTTCATGGTAAAATTATCACAGGTGTACCAGTTTGGGGTTTTTTATGGTCAAAAAAATAGTTTGAGGTAAATGTGTCACAAGTGTACCAGTTTAGAGTTTTTCGTAGTATTAACCCTAAACAGATTTGGAATGGTAAAGCTCAAAATAAGATGAGTGTTAAATAGGTTCACAATTTAGTTTGACCCAATTCACCTCTACAACTCTCTCTTCACTTTTTCACCCTCACTTGATCATGCACTCGCTCACTTCATGTTCTTATCTCAGTTTGGGCATGAATTTTCCTAAATTGAGTTAAATATGAAAATATTTTAGCAATATGGATCGAATGTGCAGGGTCGGGAAAGTGTCAATTTGCTCCGACCTGACTCACTTGTTTGACGGGTCTAGGCATGTATCACGTAACATCGTCGTGTTGAAAGGAAGATATTTTTTTTTAAGGGTTAATACCACGAAAAACCCTAAACTGGTACACTTGTGAAACATTTACCCAAAACTATTTTTTTGACCATAAAAAACCCTAAACTGGTACACCTGTGACAATTTTACTCTGAACTATTTTTTTGACCACTAAAAACCCCAAACTGGTACACCTGTGACAATTTTACCCTGAACTTACCACAAAAAATCCCAAACTGGTACATATGTGACAATTTTACCCTGAATTAAAATTTTAATTTTAATTTTTTATTTTTTTCGAATTTTTATTTATTTTTTATTCTTTTCTTTTCTTTTTTTTTCATCTTCAAACCCTGGCCGGTCGCCGGTCCGGCGACCGGCCAGAGGCGGAAGCCGGCGAGGGCCGCCCTCGCCGGCGTCGAGCGAGGGCCGCCCTCGCCGCGTCGGCCCGAGGCCGCCCTCGCCGGCGTCGGCCGAGGGCCGCCCTCGCCGGCGTCGGCCGAGGCCGCCCTCGCCGGCGTCGGCCGAGGGCCGCCCTCGCCGGCGTCGGCCGAGGCCGTCCTCGCACGCCCGGGGGCAAGGGTGACCCTCGCCCAGGCTCGGGCGAGGGCGGCCCTCGCTCGGCGCGGCGAGGTCGCCCTCGCCGGATCCGGTGAGGGCGACCCTCGCCGTATCGGGCGAGGGCCGCCCTCAGCCGGATCTGCGAGGGCCACCCTCGGCGCGTCGGGTGGCCCTTGCCCGACGCCGGATCTGGCGAGGGCGACCCTCGCCTACGTTGGGCGAGGGCCGCCCTCGCCTGAGTCGAGCGAGGGTCGCCCTTGCCCTGGGTAGGCGAGGACGGCCCTCGCCTGCGTCGGGCGAGGGCCGCTCGACGCCGGCGAGGGCAACCCTCACCCTCGCCGGCTTCCGCCTAAAGGTGAAGGAAAAAAAAAGAAAAGAAAAAATTCAAAAAAATAAAAATAATAATATTAAAAATTAGCTCGGGGTAAAATTGTCACATGTGTACCAGTTTAGGGTTTTTTGTGGTATGTTTGGGGTAAAATTATCACAGGTATACCGGTTTGGAGTTTTTTATGGTCAAAAAAATAGTTTGGGGTAAATGTGTCACAAGTGTACCAGTTTAGGGTTTTTCGTGGTATTAACCCTTTTTTTAATAAAATTGCACCTAAGAAAATACCGTATAATGTGTCCGAGGAAAGGAAAATATGTATGCCATATATTAGATGCTTGATATGTGTGTTTGAAATTTAGGGTGCGTTTGGTAACTTGCCAAAGAGTATCTAATTCTATTCTTTTGTTCCCAAAAACAAAAAGAAAAAATTGAAATCCGTTTGGTAAATTTTTTGTTTTCAAGCACGAATTTGTTCCCAGAATCAATTTTGTAACAGAATCAATAAAGAAAAAAAAGTTGCTTCTCAAAAAAAAGTTGTCTTTTGATTATGGGAACAAGAATCATAAATATAAGAGAATTTTTTTTTCTTTTTCTTCTTTCCTTCCTGGCTATGACCGGTTCTTCTTCTTTCTTAGCCTGTGGCCGGTGGTCGACAACTGGCGACCGGAGATCGACCACAAGCCAGGGCTAGCGAGGGCGTCGTGGCCTGGGCAAGGGCCACGTGAAAGAATGGTGGAAAAAAATTCATGTTAGGAGAATGCCTAGCTAGCACCTTGCTTTTTGCAAGTAAATCCAATTTATTTAAGGGTTAATACTACGAAAAACCCCAAATTGGTACACCTATGATGAATTTACACAAAACTAATTTTTTTTTATGACCTGGGAACCGCCGTACAGCCGACAGCCGGCGACGTAAACTCGGGGTTACGCTAGCGCAGGACCTACCACTACGGCGCCACACTTAAGAATCCCTAACGACTACGCTGGGATTCAAACTCCCCACCCTTCGTGAGGGGCAGAGAGCGCGAACCAACGCAGCCGCTGCGGGCGGTGGTAGACACAAAACTAATTTTTTGACTATCAAGAACCCAAAAACTGGTATACCTATAACACATTTACCCCAAATTAATTTTTTGACAACCAAAAACCCCAAACTGGTATAGTTGTGACAAATTTACCCTCGGTTAAATTGGATTAATATAACAAAAAATCATAAATTGATAAATCTGTGACAAACAGAGGGGTCAAATGCTAAACCTGTATACCCGTCAACTGCCATGTGTTATCAAACTTGACAATTTGACAGTAAAATTTAATAAAAATTAACGGAGGGTGAATTTGTCATGGGTGTACCAGTTTGGAGCTTTTCGTGATATTAACTCTTCATTTAATTGAGTCTGAAACAATTAGATAACTTTTCTTTCGTCATTATATAATCATATATTGGTTTTGTTGGAAGAGATTTATCGTGTATTATAAAAGCGACGAAAGAGTAACATTCACGACGAAGTAATGTTATCTTTTATGAAATAATAATTTCCGGCCAATTTTCTATTTTTTCTTCTGAAAAAAAGTAGAGAGGATGATTATTTCCACTTTTAGCGTTTGTACACAAGACGAGCCTTTTTCAAAGCCATCAAGATTGAGTTTTATTTTTTAATTTTTATTTAAACTCGTGAATTTTCACAAGATTCAAGTATTGACTTGTAGGTTCACGTATATTTTTTTTTATAATTTTTTGAAATTTAGTTATATTTTAAATTTTGATGAAAAAGTTAAAGAGTAGGGATAATGACATAAATGGTCCCCAAATTTTGTCCTAATGTACAATGTGATCCATGGATTTTCAATTTGTTCAATGTGGTCCCTAAACTTTAGCTCAATATGTAATGTAATCCCCAAACTTTTAATTTGTTAAATGCAGCCTCTGGACTTTTGGTACATATTCAAATTAGTACATGGACTATATGAAAATGTTCACTGTTGTGTCCTTAAATTTAAATTAATGGAAGAACAAAATTGAATATTTTCATATAGTCTAGGGATTAATTTAAACAGTCCAGGGGCTATATTGAACAAATTAAAAGTTCAGGGATTATATTGCACATTGGACTAAAGTTCAGGGACCACATTGAACAAATTAAAAGTTTAGAGATCATATTGCACGTTAGGTTAAAGTTCAAGGACCATTTGTGTCATTATCCCTAATTTTTATAAATCCAAACAAACACTCCCTTAACCTGGAGATTATGGAGTTCTCCTTCGATTCACTTTTGGTTTATCTCCTCCTCGCTTCCTTTCTTTCTTATCCTTCCACTCAAGTTGTCAACTGTCATTAGGTAGGGATCAATCATATCAAGCAAAACAGAGCATGTCAATACTACTCAGAATTGTCATTATTTGACAGGCTAGTTCTGATTTCATTCTACTTCTCTTTCGAAATTTGATTAAGTGATAGAAAGATATTATACGATGAATGTTTAAGTTGCAATTACTCAATCCTTTAGAGATAGGGCATTTCTAATCAAGAAAAATGTAACGATATTAACCGTTCGAGAGGAGGTGATTATGAATTCGAACCCACAATTTATGGTATTAAAAGATAGCAAATAGCCAAGAATTAAAATCGAATTTAAAATATGGTGTAGACTCGTTCCATAACCAGAGTTAATATGACCCAATGAGAGTTGATAGATCCTTGAAAGTTGACATAACCTGTCATTTGCAGTGGGCTTTTATGTCTTATAGATCCAACTTACTATTTATTGTTGTTGGGCCTTATTTCCTTTTCGTTGTCACCTTGGATTGTATGTTCCCATGTAACTTTTTTTCATAAGTAATACAATCTCGTATTTACCTGGCAAAAAGGAAAATGAAAACTATTACTACCAAGTGAAAGTTGAAAACACTAAAATGATGGATTTGAAGGATATCATTCCTTGTATTTTTTCCTGTAAAATTACAAAGAGCTGATGGCATTCTATGTAGCATCTATAGTTTCAAGAAGTAGCAACAGTAAAGCAACGACAACCTCCTAGTAAAAGGACTATAGGATAACCAAGAAAACCACAAGCCACAAATAATATCTGAACAAAGTATCTAGCAATCCTCGGTCCCGAGATATCGAGTCTCCGGACGCCAACATCACTGGGAATTGGCATCCTTCCGAGGACGGGTCATTCTCGGTGACCACAGCAAGACCCATGAAATCGCAGTTCCAGGAGTGCTGGTTATTCATCTGGTAGTACATGTTGAATGCATAGGAAGCATTGCCCTGCAGGCTCAGGTTGTTACAGGATGACCCATAACCCAGAGCAGTGCAGTCTGATAAGCTACAAGCGTAGCCTACGTTGTCTCCTAGGTCCGTGAGATCGTGCATTTCGGGGTTCAAAATGCACCACCTCCGTGGCATGTAGGACACGCCTTTGACTGGGACTAGGCCGGTGTCCTCCGATCCCGACAAGTCCAGTTGATACTTTGGCTTCCCATCGTACTCGAACAATCCCCAGTGCCGCTCGAAGTTCCCCGGGTCTATGCTCTTTGCGTTCTCGTCGATTAGGCTGAAGAGGTACACGTTGATCACTCCTTTCCTTGCCGGAGTGCCGTCTCTGCTCAAGGCATGCTTCAGCATGCCCTGATTGAACCTTTGGGCGTTTTTGATGTTTGCATTCTTGTTGCCATTGGTCGGCCACCCGACTTCTCCAACTAGGATCTCCATGTCGGAGTACCCTGCTTTGGACAAGGCTGAGATGAGTGTGTCAAAGTTCGCGTCGAACACGTTCGTGTACACCAGGTCCCCGTCTATGAGGGGCACATCCGTTCCGTCAAAGAAGGCATAGTCAAGAGGGAAATCCGGGTTCTGGTAGAGGCTGAGGAAGGGGTAAATGTTGACGGTGAAAGGCGAATCATTTATGTATAGGAAGTGAATAATTTCTATCGCTGCGTCACGAACTTCGGGCCTGAAGTCTCCGGAAGAAGGGACAGGGTTTGAGGGCGGCGAGTAGTAGACATCAGCGTTGAAGGGGACCGTGACTTTGACCTTGGAGCTTAGCCGGGCACGGTGGAGGGCCTCGTGAATGTTCCGGAGGGCCGGCAATACACGTCGGATATAAGTGTGATTGTAGGTTTGCAAGAAGGGCTCATTTCCTACAGCAATGTACCTGCAAGAATCAAAATTGATGAGGCCTAATTTCACTGCAATGAAATGTACATGGCATGTTTCTTTTGACACAACCAAAAACAAAGAAGGTGAGCCTGAAGGATAGAAAGAGCATGACCATTGGAAAGAGAATGCCAATTGTGTGGGAGTAACTACCAGTTATCAATTTGTGATCAATTGGCTGTGACATGATTGATGACTAGGACTGCAACACAACAAATGCCTAACAACATATTACCTAAAGAAAGAGAAGCAATTCATAAATGTGACAGAAGTATGACTCCGTATGAACTCAACTTCTCTGAGTAGATTTCGGCAAGACAAGAAGTTTTCGAGTAGATAGAATCCGAATCGAATGAAACGTTAAAAAGTTTTTGAAGATGAGATAATGCGACATCTTCATAAACCAACGAACATTATCACTCAACCTGATATTGACTCCTCCAATGTATCGATAACCAGTGACATTCGTGTCCACCCAAGCAGCAGCAAAGCTCGGATCCACGCTCATCATCTGCAACATGTAATTAGGAATGGCAAGCATCACTTCGATGTCGCTCCCGATGAGGGCATCCAAAATGTTCTTATCGTATTCAAACAGCTTCAGCTTCTTGAAGCCATTATCTTTCAGCATCTTCACAACTTTCTCAGGAGGGAGCTGGTGGGTTGACATTGTTCCCCAGTTCACTCCAAAGCTTGACCCAGTTGAGAACATGGTCATGCAGTAGAGAAGAATTAGTACAAGGATCAGAGAAGGATGATCGGATCTTGATTCTGCCATTCTCTTTGAATTTTCTTTGGAGATTCTTCAGATGGGTCTCTCTGAATTTTCCTGAGGAAAAAAGAGGAAGAATCTGGAAAGAATAGAACCCTCAAACTATGAGGGGAGGGAATGTGGATGGGGTGGGGGAAGTTCTCTTGTTGGTGGAACTCCGTACTTATAGAACTCTCTCTCTCTCTCTCTCTTGCTCTCTCTCTCTCTCTCTCTCACACACACACACAACGCTGAAAGCTTTGGAGAATCTTAGTGGTGCCGGTGGAAGTTCACCGGTGGTCGTCGACTTTACAAAAGGTAATGAGAAAAATATCGAGAGATCCTTTGCTTAATACAGTTATTCAGTTTTGTTGCTAACATTCATGTTTAATCCGCGAACCTACCTAAATGACAAGCCCCAGAATCAAAGGACTATTGAACTTCACACTGTGCTTTTTGTTTGGAATTGCCCCAAGATCGATGTCCGAAAGTTCTGATTTGTAACTTTGGCAAGTCTCTCAAGATACTAAATTTTTTTCTGGATTATATAGTCTTAAGATAGGGAATGGATATGACGCGCATATATTTAAAGATGATTTACCATTCATCTAACAAATAAATCTTTTCTGCTAAACAAATATTTTACTCCATAATGTGCCGTTCATGATAAGTTTACAGTCTGTAGCTCACAGATGTTCAGTGTTGGGTCATGCAAGTGACCTGAGATTACCAGAGACATAGACAGCCAACAAGATAAAGGGACCAATTGAAGAAGATCTCTTGAGCGCTCTAGATCCATCTTTTGTGAGAAAAAAAGTATGATGCACACGCTTTCTTTTGATGGGAATCTCAGAATGTTGATTACCAAGACTTTGAACGAACGAATGTGCATGAACTAATGTTGTTGTTGGGACTTCATGAACATATGTCATTGATTTCCATACCGAAAGGGCAACGATCAATTCAATACTAGAATAGCACCAAAAGGAGATCATCGATGCACCCACATGAAATCTCCTCCTAAAACTTCTAATTAAGTCACACGTTTATATTCAATACGAACGCATAATTTTTGTTTTTGGAAATGGAGTTCATGTCATTGCTTAGCTAGAAGAAAAGAGAAAAGGGCTTGACCCCTTTTGAATTGCGATTGAAGAGAATCTCCCAAGGAAAGCCAAACCTTTACAGCAAATTTTTACGTGTTTTCTTCCCATTCAATCTCAGTCCTTTATTTCTATCAACACCTTTTCTTCCATCGTTTTAATTTAATAAGGAGACGATCAGCTTTGGTATGACCGAAGTGCATTCCAAATAAAAAGGAAAAGAACGGATAGCTCAGGAGGTGTTCTAACTGGCTGTGCTGATGTCCGCTTCTTAAGGGTTTTCTTAGTAAGGCCATAAAGGGTACTCCACAAAGATAACACAAAACTTGTTGGCCAGCTATTTGAGGGCTTCTTTCCTTCTAAGTTGAGCTTGACATACAAGATCGAGTGGCTCAAAGAAAGATAAAAGAAACTTCGCGGAGGCCAAAATGAATGATCATCCATTCATATTGATGGGACGCGGGTGGTTCCGAGTGAAGTCACTTTCTTGGTCAAGACAAGAATGACTTCAAGAGGACCCTTTTTTGCACGCATGATAAAGTCTAATTTAGAGTTTCCTAAATTATGCATTAGAAGACAGAGCTCTTTATGGCGATGACGACGCTTTTCTTGAACGAAGCATCGCAGAATTACTGCGGTCTGACGAAAAGATGATATCTTACTCGTCGTATGCTTATATGATAGATCTGAATCTTTCTTTCGTAACTTTGATCACCATGTGAAAGATCATTCAAAAGCTCGTAGAGTTTCTAATAGTCCATATCGAGCCGAGCCAATATATAGATGAATGCTATTTATGTAATTCAGCACTTGGTCCATCACGTTGCAATTCGGGTCTAAGACGAAGGTTTCGAGATTGATCATCAGTAGAGAGGCGAATCCGATGCATAAAGATTCACTTCTACTTCGATATAACATATAAAGATCTTGAAACCGCTATCCATAGATTCATGTGTAGATCCCATATGCAGAAGCGTTAAGGCTGCTGCTCAATCCAAAGAAAAGTTGCATGATAATATTCTAAGTTACACAGCCAAAAAGAAATGAAAATGCATACCTTTTGAGGTATAAGTAAGTATAATTTCCGAAATTATCAGTTGAAGGGACATTGACCAATGTTCACACTTGCCTCTACAATTGAATTCCTCCTCATATCTATATGGCCTCCACTTTCGACACCTTTTCAAAGGCTATATAACTTGACAAATAAGCCTAGGAAAGCATTTTACATAAAACCACTTTGTGATCGCAAGAATCATTATGCTTTGTTTAATTTGTCTCTTTTTTCTTTTGCATTACATAGTTCAATGTATTGAACGGATTTTTTATTTTTATTTTTTATTAAGACCATAGTAAAGGAAAGGATAAAGAAGGCTCAGAAAGATAGAAGACAAAGCCTATTGCAACCACAAAAAAAATGACCTTATACTTATCAAGAAATGAGAAAGATATGACCCGTAATAAATTCTCAAATGGTTCGACGAGACAAGACTTGGAGCTGTTCCTAGGTGATCATTGGAGTGATGTAATAACTATTACGTTATGATGTAATAGACCTGTAATAAATATTAAACTGATTAAGACGAATACATAATCATCACTTTACAAATAATACAAACAAATTCAATTGTAATTAATGTGAATTTCAATTATAATCAATACAATCTAAAAGAGGTAGAGTAACTAGGAGAAACGAGACGAGTGCTTTGGAAGTGAATTTTGGTCAAGCCGAAATAGCTGTTACGTAGGAGAGTCATGTAATGGATATTACAGCTTCGATTGTAATATGTATTATCGTAAGCAAATACCGTAACATGCAATAAATCTATAATGTAATGATTGTCACTATAACCATTCGTGTTCTTCTAGCCGGTAGTATTAATTTCTTGCATATGAATAGGGTTTTTTCTCTTCTTCTTTTCACTTGGGCCATAAAGACTCCATGATGAGAACACAGAAGTTCTTTTTTTCTTGGCCAGCTTTTGAGTGCACTTTTCATCTTGTCGAACTTGACAAGGACGAAGTTGCGTTGTGAGATTACTTTACATTGTAGGCATGGTTGTGAGTGAAAGTCACTTTCTGGGTCAACACAAGAATGACTTCATGAGGTCCCCCTTTGCAGGGCATGAGAGCCCACACGTAGTTGCCTTGTAAATCTTGTGATGATTATTTTGCTAGCTAGGTCATGTAGCTCGAGCTTAATATGTTCGAAGCCTATCAATTCGAAGACCGACTTTCATATGGCAATGACAAGAACATTTTCATATAAAATATAAAAAAATTGTTGTGGGGCAGGACAAAATATATAAACTGTACTATTCGTATGCTCATCCATAAATTGGAAATTTCTAGTTTGATTGCCGTGTGAAACGCCTCGCGAAAATCTTCGTAGTCTTAACGATCCATATGAAACTTAAATTGTGTACGGCACTCACTTTGATTTTAATTTTTTTTTGAATCACTTTAAGTGTCAAATTTTTTGAAAAACAATATTTTCAGTGCCAATTCTGATCTGTTTGGTCGGAAATTCTACGTGGCCTTTTTTTTATAAATATCTGAAGCCGACGTGGCTCACCAGAGAGTCTGGTCAGCATCTAAAGCATAAACAACGTCATTGAATCCCCCAAACAAGAACCTAAATCTAGAGAGAGAAAATAGGCAGAGAGAGAGAGGGTGCTCCTTCCCCAATCCCCCACAAACCTTAGCACCGCCTACGAAAAATGGTGATGTCTCTCTCGTTTCTTGCCATTTCTTGACATGTCCGACCTTGTGTCGATCCTCTCTTCCTCTGTGTCGAAGTTTTTTTCATTGGACAGGTGCATTGCGCGTCATATTTTCCTGTCTCGCGAGCATGTTCAATTCGTCATTCTGTTTCGCAGATTCCGCCCTTTGGCAGTCAATTGAGACATGAATTAATGTCATTTTGATTGAGGTGTTGTTATTTGGACATTGGTAGTGCGATGCTAAGCAAAAAGAGACGTCTTTCAATTCGATGAGGGAATTACAGAGGAAGAGAGATGCTGTAAGAAGGGTTGGGGAGAGAGAGAGAGAGAAAGAGAGTCACCTCAGTTCAACGGGGGCGCGATGGCAAGTGGTGACGACAAAGATCAACGAAGTTTGACGGCGAAAGTCGGCGAGGTGTGACGGAAGCACTGAGGAGGAGGACTCAGGAGAGTGAGCGACGACGACAGTGAGGGAGGATTGTCAAAAGGAGAGGTGCAATGGTGATCGAAGGCTAAACACAGCAGAAGGAAGGGCATTGTTTTTTGTTGAGCCATGGAACAGCGTAATTTTGGGACTATTGATTCGACGTCATTTTTATTTTGAGACTATGGTGCCACGTTGGATGAAGTGGCGTCGTTTTGCAAGTCCGCATGGATGATAATTTTAAATATAATACCAACTCATTTTTAAATATTTAATTAAAAAAGCTATGTATTAATTTTTATCGGAATTTCTCGTTGAATATACTTAAGTGATCATTTTTTTTTTCGATTTGACATTTAATTGATCCGACGAAAACTTTTGGCACTAAAATGAGTGTCATATATAACTTTTGACACTTCTAATGTCCTTCTCCCGAAAATTAACAAACGGAGGATTGGGAGAATTCATTATTCCGACCCTCCATCCTTTCACCTATGGATTGCAACTGATCAGGCCTTAAAGATCAAAGCATGGAACGACGTATCTTATGAGACTATAGTGCAAAGGAAAGGCTAAAGAAGGCTAAAAAGAAACTCCACGAGGGCTTATTACAACCAAGACAAAAGGACTTTTCTGGAGTGTTGAGGGCAGTGTTTGTTCGAGAAGGATCCTCAGGAATCATCATCACATTTGACAATGGAATTGTCCCCGCGAAAAAATATTTTTGGAGTGACATCGCAAGCATCTCTCGGAACGAAATCGGATCCCGCATCCGCTAAATTCGCGGAGCTTCTGCGGTCCTGAAAGCGCGTTTTGTCCTCGATCCCATGATTACGGCTTTCGGATTTGGAAATTTCTCGACATTGTTGTCACGGTCTTTCGATTCAATT